GTCTGGTGGTGTGTTTTGGGGTGTCTGTGGACTTATTATGATTTTAGGCAGCCTCTCTGCTAGGGGGTGGGGTTGTGTTCCTGTCTTGCTATATGGTTGGCATAGGTTGTCCAGCACTGTAGCTTGCTGGTCGTTGAGTGAAGCTGGGTGCTGGTGTTGAGATGGAGATCTCTGGGAGATTTTTGCCGTTTGATATTATGTGGGGCTGGGAGGTCTCTTGTTGACGAGTGTTCTGAAGTTGGCTCTCCCACCTCAGAGGCATAGTCCTGACTCCTGGCTGGAGCAGCAAGAGCCTTTCATCCACTCGGCTTCGGCATTGAGGGTTTTCTCTTTTATCTTTCTCACAACTTCCTCTGCTTTGCCTTCGTTATTTACGCCTATGATAACATGCATGCCCAGTTTGGCCAGATGCTTTGCTGTCGAATATCCAATTCCATCAGTCCCGCTGGTCACTATAGCAACACGCTCGAGTTGTAGGGGGAAAACTGGCTCCGCGAAGCCCGGGAAGCGGCGCCGCAGCAGCTGCACCAAAACCACCGCCGCGCCCACCACATGCACTCGCAGGGCCACCCGCGCTGCAGACAAAAGCGACATAATAACAGAGAAAATTGAGACCTGGACAAGGTTAAACAATTTGCCCAAAGAAGATAAAGGTACCTCCTGATTTGGATCTTATTACTATATTAAATTTATTCAATTTTGCTTCTAATTGATTGTATTTTTGTTCTTTTAAATGAGACTGATCTAGTACAAACTAGAGGAAGAATGTTTCTACAAATAATTATTCACAGCTTGGTATGTCCATGGTTGGAAAGCAGTGTGTTGCTCTGCTGAAGAGATGATGTGGCCTTCCTGGATTTAAGCACTTTTATAGTTTGTGCTTCATTGCCCTCCATTGTAATATAAAGTTCATTCATTCTCTGAGTTCCAAAATGCAGTGACCTTAAGCCAGAAAGGATGAAAATATTTATTTTAGTGTTCTTTTAAAAATAGAAGTTTATCTCATTCTATTTCTGAAGTTTAAAATAGTATTACATTCCAATTCATGCTAATTATGAAATATTTGACCACAAAAATCTAGCAGTTTATAATTAACAGATTTAATGATAGTGTCATAGAATTTTAGAATGAAAGGGACTTAATAGATGATTTATATCAATGGTTCTTACCTTTGTTGTAGGATTGTGGATCACTCTGTGTATTAAAATTCTGGACTCTATTCTCTCAGCGATGTGTGTATATATATATATATATATATATATATATATATATATATACATATATAATCACATATTTACAGTGTATGTATTTTTAAGTTTTAGCCACCTTACAGATAGCCAAACTTTATTCATAGATCTCCCGCTTTTACTTCTAAGAATATCTGATGCAGTTTTGATTTTGGAAAATGGTACTTGAAAGAGTTTTAACAAGCAACTCGTTAACATACAGGAAGACCTGTACTTAAACCATTCAAATAACTCTTACCTTTCTTTACTAATATGATATTAGAGAAAGAATACAAGATTAAAAGTCAAGAATCAATTGATCCCATAAATAACTAGCTGTTTGTTTAAATTAAAAGGCTTATGGAGCTAGAAGAAATCTTGAAAATCAATTTCAAGTGCTTAAAACTAGAGATGTTATTATATAGGAACACTTTCCAAACCTCAAATCTTAATTTACATATGGATTTTCAATAGCATTTAACAATATTCATCATCTACTCAAGAATTTTGTCAGACACAAAATCTTTCATTTAGTTAAATGGACAAAGGTAACATAATGAAGCAATATGAAGAGTACTGATTAATTAAACTGTGCATATATGCGTTCCCTCGTAAAGGCAGATTGAGTCTTTACTTGCCTAAGCTCATGTAACTCATAAGTGGCAGATCTGGATGTGAGCACAGGCAGCTGTGTCTTCAACATAACACAACCTTGGCTATTAAAGACAAAATCAGTGTGAGCAGGGGTGGCTGGAGAAGTTCTTTGTTGGTGCTGATACTTGAGCTGTTCATTAATGGGGAAGACCTAGTGGGGAAAGTAGACTTACACGTGACTCGAAGAGCATGGGCAGATTTCACAAGGAACTTAACACTGCTTACATTAATGTAGGCAGTATAATAACAGATACATAGAGTCTTCTTGGCATTCAGTTTTCTCTCATAGGAATCACACTTGTTCTAGCCATCAAACATTACATAGATCTGTGCTTTTTCTAAGATTCTTTTCCAACAATGTGCTGATACCTCCCGCTCTAGCACTGCAGCTTACTGTGTCTCAGATGGAACTCTGTGCTCTTTCTGCTCACATAGGTCCAGGGGAGGAGGACCTCCACTGGACCTATGTGAGCAGAAAGAGCACAGAGCATTTTTCAGCAGAAATTCTGCAGGCCAGAAGGGATGGTGTCATTAAGGCTCTTTCCAGATATAAAACACTACAAGAATATAGGATTGGAAATAGTAATGGCCACACATGTCTTTTTTTCTCTATGATGTTCCTTATCCAAACAAATAATGATAGTGTAATTTTAAAAATTCTTTGTGACAAACCTTACATTCTTGTATCCTACTCCTATCACAGTTTGTGAAAAATTGCATCACTAGAGTTTTCTTCTCTGGGTAAATTTTGTGCAAGTATGTTATTTTAAAATGTCAATTCTATTTCTTTTTCTAGTCCCATATAAAATATTTACATTATATAAAGTCCACTTATGGAAAACATGAAAAGTCATTGCTTTGTCTAACTAAAATTCACAATGGGAATATTGGTGTTTTTGTGAGGAATTTTAGACATTACTTCAAATGTCAAATTCTAAAATGTCAAATGACTGGCAAAGGTATGTTAGTAATATTAATAAATGTTTCTAGTTTCTTTTTTATCTTTTAGGCCCTAAGCTGTTTGATCACATTCTATAATATCATTTTTTCAAATTATGTTACTTTTCTCAGAGTCTTCTCCTCTGGAGTGTGAGCCTCCAGGAGGCAGGGAGTGTCATTGTTATCTCAGTCCTTGACATGGTCACTGCCTATAATAGGAAAGGAGGGGAGGACAGGGAAATGAGTAAAGGACATGAAAAGTGAGGGAAAAATCAATCTGCTTAGCAAAATTAACTTTTAGAGAATCTTATTTTATTAATATATATGCAAATATGCTTTGCATATTGTAAATTTTCTCATTGATTAAATCACTATTTCAATAAGTGACTTAAGACTCCTTAGTTTGCAAGGCACAGAAGTGTACTTGAATTACTTGAATTAACTTAAAGGTGTTTATTTTCAGGATAGTAAGTGGAAAACTTCCAAATATCGAAAAGGGGAAGTTATAATACCTTTTACCTTGAAATTGAGAAATGCCTAAATAAGTGAAGAGTCATCAACTGTAGATGTTTTTCACATATTTAACAGGTTATTTCCCCAAACCCACACTTATTTATTACTCAGTCTTGTATAACTTTTAAAAATTCTTGAGTTTTTGTTTTCTCATCTAGAGAATAATTATCTATTCTAGTCATTTGGAGATTTAAATTAGAATTTTGTTTAAAAAATTAAAGTTCAGTGACTGGATATTATTGGTCTAAACCATAACATTTGTTTCTTTCTCCATTTCTCTACTTAAAAAACAAGAATAGTTATATTTTGTGTAACATCTGATTTGATGTTCACAATAATAAATTATGTGAATGGATTGTGAAAACTTAAGAGTTTCACAAATATTTGCTTGATACTTATACCAACCACTCAAGGTAAGAGCTAAACAAGGACCCAGAAAGTTCCAGAAGTAGTGTCCTTTTTTTAAAAAAAAAATCAAATCAAGGATATAAATGCATATGGGTGTTCAAAAGTGAAGATTACATTTAATGACATGCAAATCAAAATAAAATACAATCTATAATCAAATATTTAAAACAAGTCACTAATGAACTTAGTTTAAAAATAGATGAAAAGTTTAATTAAAAATAAATAAATAAAATTTAATTGTCTTTTTTTTTTTTTTTTTGCAGTACACGGGCCTCTCACTGTTGTGGCTTCTCCCACTGTGGAGCACAGGCTCCAGACGTGCAAGCTCAGTGGCCATGGCTCATGGGCCCAGCTGCTCCATGGCATGTGGGATCTTCCCGGACTCGGACACGAACCCGTGTCCCCTGCATTGGCAGGTGGACTCTCAACCACTGCACCACCAGGGAAGCCCTAATTGTCTTTAAAAATAAAAAAGTTTAATTAAAAATAAATGGCATTTATGTTGGTAGGCATTTCTGTAACAATTCACTGGGTCTTTGATTCCTCAATAGGAAGTTGACTTTCATTGCTTACTTGAGAACAAAAAGAAAATTCCATTTCCAATAGTGAGTGTTTATAAACAGCTTTATAATTGTTTCCAGTTTATATTTTTAAAAATGGTCCAGGGCCGCAGGACCCACCACTGCTCACCCGGAGGGGCGTGGACAGGTACAGCCACTGAGAATTCTGCCAGTGGGCCTCAGGACCTGTTCATGCTATCTCGGGAAGGCATGGAAATCTTCTGCAACTGGGAAATCAGTCAGTGGGTGCCAGAACACACCCCACTCTCCCAGGAGGGCACAGAAAGCTTCCACTACTGGGAAATATGCCAGTGGATGCTGGGACCCACACTACTGTCCCAGGAGGGTGTGGATAACTCCCCCCACTAGGAAATTCACCCAGAGGAGGACCTGAAACCACAGCTGAGCCCCAAGGGCTATGTGACTAAGGAAGAAGAACTGAAATCTCTCCTTATGGCTGCGAGAGCTGTGAGGTTACACCTTCACTGACAGATGCCTAAATTCAGCACCTGCAAAGCATTCGAAAGGACAAAAAGTGCTAATGCAGCTGGGGTGTGTCTGGCATTAGCAGCTGTGGGCTCTGCGGGCATGTGCTAGTGAGGGTAGGGCCAGATCAGAGTTCAAGATGCCTCAATAACGCCCACAATGGGTCTAGGTGCACGAATACTGCAGTATTGGGACCTAACCTCAGTGGACCTGCATCAGTCGCTGGGTGAAAACAATGTCTGAGAGTCACCAGGGGCAATTGCTGGCATACCCACAGTTAAGGTGGGACTGACAGCAGTGCCACAACAGTACACTTCATGAGCCCACACAATGAGCAGAAGGAGACACAATAGAGCACATTCACAGATGAACAGCTCCAAAGGAGGAAAACTCAGTGACTTCTCTCCCAGTGGGAGTGCTCCAACTGAGAGCAGACTCCATCCCTGACAGGACAGTGACAACCACAGAGCAAAGGGGAGGCACTGCTTAATATCTAGGGTAGGCGCTGATCACCACAACACCCCTATCAAGGGGGTAAGAGCACAAACCTCTGGACCAACCTCACCCACCAGGGGGCAGAAACCAGAAGCAAGAGAAACTGTGATCCAGCAGCCTGTGGAAAGGAGACCACAAACTCAGTAAGTTTGACAAAATGAGACTACAAAGAAATATGTTGCAGAGGAAGGAACAAGATAAAAACCTACAAGAACAACTAAATATAGAGGAGACAAGCAATCTGAAAAAGAATTCAGGGTAATGATAGTAAAGATGATCCAAGATCTTGGAAAGAGAATGGAGGCATGGAACA